TTAACCACCCTGAATTACCGTTACGCCGACCAAATTGTTTCTCAGGTGCTGTTAATTTGCGTCATTGTTGAATACAAATAGTAGGCGCCCAGGACAAAGTGCTTGTGCTCTGTGTGTTTGTACATGCAATGAAGAGTCCAGGTCTGGATGAGGGAGAGCTGTGCTGTGGGGCACAGCTTGGTAGGCAGGCATGGAACAGCACAGACGTACACGACTATACTCAGTTTACACTAATGACTTATTCTCGGATGACGAGGTGTCACTACAAGGCAGAGACAGGGTTTGAGGTAATATTACCATTCGTAACAGTTACCTGGTCTGTAATCAGGATGCCAAATCTCTGTGAGTCAGCTGACGCACAGGGTTTTCTGTTCCAGTTTAATACGTAATCGCTGGTGTATTTTGTTGCATTTACCAGTATTAGACTGTGTAACTGGTGATGTGGTACTGGATGTTTCATCGTTGTTCTTTATTAATCTATGTCACCTTATTTCCTATGTGGCAGGTGAGCTGTATCTCTGACACTGTCCTTTCAAGCCTGACCTTTGACCCCTGGTGTTATTTTACGGGAAGACAGCTGTTGCCATTTGGCTACTAGCTTGCAGTTGAAGTTGTTTGTCTGGTTACCGGACCCTGCCTCTGATTCCAAGCGCAATAAATATCCATGGAGAATCAAGTACTCAGCATTCAGTTTCAGATTCATTACCAGCATTATAGGTCTTTAATTCAAGAGAACATTAAACAGTAAATAGTAGTGAAGCTGCACTTGTGTTTGGAATGTTCAGTGTGTCAGTTTAATGTGAATAGACCCTGCACGCAAACCAATGAAAGGACTGGTTCTAATTTACAAAAGAAAATGAAAACATCAAAAACAACACGGTACCATCCAGATCAAAGGCTCTCATGTCTTCTAGAAAATTACATTTGGATTTTTCCAATATTTTAAATGCCAGATTATATTCAGGGAGATTATGTATTTTTCTTGCATTTTCAATGTTTCTTCTTTCTTTTCATTTGAGGTGTCAGTTCTGATCTGAATAATTTGAAAAATAATTCTTGCATAACGTGACAAGGAAATTCTCCATGGAAGTCTTATATATATATATGCCTTTAAAGGGGCACAGAGTTTCTGATCTCAACATTGTTCTCAGTGTCTTAGCAGTATATAGAAAAGAAAAAAATCTGCACAGGATTGCCACACTGTGCTGTATTGTTCATTTATGAGTCTGTGATGGGGACACAAACCCCTTTTTATCTGAGGCCATTTTGGTGAGATTGATACATGGATTTATCTGACATATTTTACTCACCAGAGAGCAGCCCTGTGCTTGATTTTTTGCGCCAACTGATTCACTGTACCTTGGTTTGTTAATGTCCTCTAACGCAGGAGCTGACCTGTGTGTGACTGATGGCACTCTTTGCTGATCCGTATGTATGGATGTGTGAATTTCCTCCATAAAAAATGATCATGCAGACACTTGCCGTCACAACGCTCACACCGTATGTGAAAGTAGCACCTACATCCCACACCATATCGTGGCAAAGGCCCAGAGGAATGCACACATGAATGTTTTCCTCCTCATCTGTTCCTTTATTATTAAATCCACAAGGCTGCCCCCTGATGGTGACAGAAGCTCATCACTCCCAAACAAACTCTCTGGGGGCTTCTGTGATGGTTTAATCTAATCCTGTCGCTTTTCCTCACACAGACAACCTATTTCCATGTACACCATTAACTTTTATTATGTTTGTATAGTTTAAAATATGAATTAATTCTGTACGCATGATTAATGTTGTATGAGGGACAATGTTTTAGAGATGTGTCTCTATTTTTCCATTAAGAAAAATTCCTGTAATAAGTACTTTAGGTTAGATAAATGTCCGCTGAAAATGCTTCACTGGAAGTGTTGGGGTTAGCTGGGGATTGGGATGCAACGTGAGGCACCGGCAGAGGTGGATCTATGCAGTAACAGTGGCTAATCTCATGCAGCCAACAGGGCATCCGCTGACATTATGCCTGAGTAAATTTGGCTGGGCGTTCTTTAGCCTGAACTGGAGGCGCTATGAGAAATAATGCCGCCTTTTGTTTGGTATTATAGCGTGGATTATGCTGTCAGCTGTTCTCAAGCTGAGCTTGATATTGCCACTCGATGCCCTGCAGATTTGCCTGATCAATCAATCAATCAATCATTATTTATATTGCACCATTTTAACCATAGCATTTAGAAAGTTTTACAGACATTTAAAACGAAAAAAAAAGAATTAAAATAAGCATAACAATAAAGCACAGAAAAAAATAAAAATAGTTTTTTAAAAAATTAGTAATGATAATGTTATTATGTCTCTATTAAGCATATATGCAAGTTTGGTAAGTAATACACTCCCAAATGCACTGTCCCATGAAACAGCAAATAGATTAAACTGTTACACTTTGAGCTATTAAAAAAAAACATCAAAAAGGCTACAGTTTTGATTTTATTAAAATTGAATTTTTACAATATATTTAACATGTGATATTAACTTTATATATTTCGTTAAAATAACATATTCAGGATTTACAGAACCATAGTTAGCAAGTACAGTAGCACTGTAACCTTACGCCTTCATCGCTGGTACTTTGAATTCCATCGCTGACTCTTCCTGTGTTTGTAGGTGTGCATTCTCCCTGTGTGTGTGAACACGTTCTACCTATGTTTACATGTTTCCTCATTTGTTTCATATGGACAGCAAATTATATATGTTCAAAGTAAACTACCAGGGTGATATGCAAGAAGAGAAGAAGCTAGAGAGGTTCTTCTAGAAAGCTGCCAAAAGATTTCAGTAAGGAAGCGTTAAACCCTGTGAAGGGCAGAGCAGGGTCACAGCATAAGATGATATAGACAGAGAGGACCCCTCTGAGACGTCAGTCATTAAGCCGGGGCTGAAGGACCAGGCCCCCCCAGACTGTCCTTTGGAAATGTGCCCTCCCGCAGAGAGCATTCTGGCACCGTGAGACCAGTCGACACTTTGACCCCATGGAAACTTTACACTAGTAACTGGAAGGAGAGGCAATGTCTTCGTTAAGCCAGGCAAAGTGTGCTTCGTGTGAATCAGAAATGTGTGTGTGTGCGTGTGTGGTCATGTATATATTACATTATGGGAACCAAATGTGCCCACAATATGATAAAACCTGTTCTTTTGATGTTGTGGGGACCAAGCTTTTTTTGTCCCCACAAAGGGAAGCTCCACCGATCCATTTTCCGTACGCGCTCATCCTCTTCAGGGTCGCAGGGGGTCCGGAGCCTATCCCAGAGGCTACGGGCACACGGCAGGGAGCAACACAGGATGGGGTGCCAACCCATTGCATGGCATACACACACACCAGTCACTCACTCACACACCAGCACTCACTCACACATCAGTCACTCACTCACACATCAGTCACTCACACATACGGGCAATTTGGTCATTTCAGTTTACCTCACCATGTTTTTGGACTGGGGGGACAGACTCTGAGTACCCAGAGGAAACTCCAGTATAACACGGGAGAACATGCAAACTACATGGAGCCATGGCGGAGACTCGAACCCTGGTCCAAGAGGTGTGAGGCAACATGCCACCCCCAAACAGAAACTCAATTTTATAAAAATCTGTGAATGCAATCGAAAAAAAAACATCTTGTATTTTCTTTGGTTACTTATGGTTAGAGCTGGGTAGGGGTTAAGGTCATCATAGTGGGGATTACTGCTATGCCCATAAAAATGAATGGAGAGTCCCCACAAAGACATGAATACATGGACTTTTTGTGTGTGTTACATTATCATCATGTTTCAGTTCTTTGTGAAGAATTTGAATAGTATATCATGTTACAATAGCTGACACTATATGAATCATTATGTAGCAGAGTTAGTGCTTTGTGTGACGATCCATCAATGACTCATCCTATTAATGAGCATCTCACCATCACTATCTATGAGCTTTTAAAGTTTTACCTGTCGCATGAGCTTATTCTGAGAATCACAGTCTGCTCTTGAATGTGTTCAGCAGCAAAGATGCTGAAAGCTGCTGTACTCGGAAATGTTCAGCATCCACCTGTAAACTTCAGGATGCTTGTGCACCTGGCCCCCGACCCAGACTGGGAACAGGTAGCCGCTGTGTGCTGTGTGGGCAGAGATACGCTCTGGCCTCACGGTGCCGCCTCCGCACGCTGGGATCACGAGCTGCCTGACAGGCCGTTTGCCTATGAGGTCCATTCAGGTAGCAGCATGAGGACTGTGGAGAGCATACACAGAGGCCAGCACCCCAGGCCATGACCATGGGCGCTGCATCCATTCCCAGCATGCACTGCCTTCATTCCCAACATGCACTGCCTTCATTCCCAACATGCACTGCCTTCATTCCCAACATGCACTGCCTTCATTCCCAGCATGCACTGCCTTCATTCCCAGCATGCACTGCCTTAATTCCCAACATGCACTGCCTTCATTCCCAACATGCACTGCCTTCATTCCCAGCATGCACATATGGGTAGCACAGAAAGACCGTCGCTAAGCACGGACAGGCTCACCAGAGCCCAAATTGGGAGAAAACCCTAAATAATACATATCCTGTTTCTCTGGGATTAGAAATGAAGTCTGCATGCACATTCATAATTAATGTAGATGTCTGAGAATCACACATGCAATCACTTTTCTCCCAGAGAAGGGGGAGGGGCGGGGGGTAATTTCTGTGCAAGCATTTCTGTGCAAGACTTAAATCAGTTTGTGAACTGAAACCTGTTTTTGCTTGTGTATGATTCTCAGACCACATGTGGATCCTGCATCAGGTGTGAAGTGTTTCAGCCTGAGAGACGTCAGTGTTAAAGCCACAGTTGAAAATAATGGAAAATGACATCGACACAGTTTGAGCATCGGAAGAGGAGAGTCATTCATGATTCTCAAACACTCATGCAGACAGTAATAATGTAAATTATACTTTTTTATTATTCAAACATTTTAGTTTACAAAAGAAATAGCTTGCATCTTAATCTGCTTTTGCATTTCGGCTTCATCATATTTTAAAGTATCTCCTTATTGGTTGTCTGACAGCGAAAACTGATTGAAGCTGTGCCAAGATGGTTTGAATATCCTCGAGATAAAGGGCACATTAAAGCTAGAATATCCACCCTTTGAAAGAGCAACAGTGCTCGTCTTCAGTGTTGGGGAGGAGAAGAGAAGCTGCAGCTGTAGCGCAGCAGTAAATCCACAGTCACAGTCGGTCCTCATCAGTGCAGTGTTGGTTCTGTATCATCTTTAAGGACCACAGGGTCCGCAGTTCACACCTCGCACTCACGTGACGCCTGTTGCTGGCAGGTGCATGATCCATACTCGTTGATAATGACTAAGGCGCCCTCGATGTGGTTGGGTTTGTAATCGACATAGTACTCCTGTGCGGACATGGCCGCCATCTGCTGCATGGTCTGCTTCTGCTTTTGCTTGCGCCTCTGGCTGGCAAAGCAATTCCTTATCCTTCTCACACTAGCTGGAAAGCACTTCCAGCACACATAGAGCATGAGCACTGCAATCAGGAAGGAGAAGATCAAGGCCATGGTGCCGGTGACCACCTTGTGGATGTGCATAGTGCTCTCGAGGTCATTGCTAGCATCAGTCACTGTGAAGGAGCTTGTCACCATCGGCCCCGCCTCGGTGTGCTGCAGTCCATGGGGGTTCATGGTGGCTTCTTCATGGCTGTAACCCCTGGCCCTCTCCCTGCTCATGGTGTACATTTGTGTTGTGGCGTCTACAGAATCCTCGCAGAGTTGGAAAGCATACACAGCGTCAAGGATGTCCTCACCCTGGGTCATGTCCGGGCTAGAGCACAGCAGGCCATCATCACATTGGCCCTTGAAGTTGCTCAGCCAGGAGGCCAGGGCACAGACATTCCTGCTGCATTCCCATGTGTTCCCTGACAGTGTGATGCTGGTGAGGGATGCCCAAGAGTTCAGGATCCTCTGGTCAATGTAGGTCAGCTTGTTAAGATCCAGCTTCAGGGATTTCAGATTTGGCACACTATCAAACACGTGAGGTTCAATATACTCGATTGCGTTCCCTGAGAAATCGATCCTCTCCAGGAACTGATAGGTCCAGTCCAGCGTGCTCACCACGATGGTCGCCCTGTTGTGGTCCATGTAGAGGCTGCGCAGGGAAAGCAGTCGGGGGAAATGGGCCAGATTGACCTTCACCAGTTCGTTGTGCTCCAGGTGCAGCTCAGTGAGCTTCACCAAGCCGGCAAAGGAGTTGCGTGCCAGGCTCTGCAGCCGATTGTGGCCCAGATCTAAGAACTTCATGCTCCGGCAGTCTTGAAAGCTCCTCACAGGAACATACTTGATGGCATTGTGCCGCAGGTGCAGGTCGCTCAGCTTCCTGAGGCCATAGAAAAGGTTGGGTTCCAGTGCCTGGATGTTGTTGTGTGATAAATCCAAAATGCGAAGGTTGGGCAGGTCTCTGAACGTGGAGTTGGGCAGACTGTTGATCTTGTTAGTGCTGAGGTTGAGCTCCTTCACCCTCCGCAATCTTGCAAAGGAATTCTCCTCCACGGACTCGATGCTGTTACGGTCCAGATAGAGCCACGTTAGCTGAGTCAGGCTGGAAAACTGTCTCTCTCGCAGCTCTGTAAGGCTGTTGTCCCGCAGAGACAAGCCCATAGCACTGCTGAGATTGTGTGGTACCTCAGTCAGATTGAGTCCATCACAGTACGCCAGCTTGGCGTCGCAGCGACACAGCCTGGGACAGACGTCCCCCAGGATGGACATGCTTTTCAGGCTGATGACTAGTGAACAAAGCACTAATCCAGGGGCCTTTCTGTGCAACCACTTAAGGTACAAGTAAGTCAGGAGGAAATCCATCGGCATGAATATGCCTGGCTGAGGCGAAGGCAGAGTCCTTCAAACAGCTGAAATCCTACATTGTTTGTGATTGAAGTCTCTGGCAGAAAGTGATGATCTCTCTTAAGCACTGAATGTTTTCAGTGAATATTTTCAGTTTATTTAGACCAAATAGGAATCCTGCCCTAAATAAGATGGTTTGTTCATTTTAAATTAGAGGTGGTAAAAACACATATGTGTGAACTGAATTTATATAAAAGGATTTTCTAACTCACCCCTTATCACAGACGGACTGTCTACATTCAGCAGCTCGCTCTGCTCCAGCAGGAATTACGCACAAACGCAAAATGACCCCAAAATCCAGCACCTCTTTCCCTGGGAGTCCCGAATGTGGCAAAGCTACAGCGTCTTCGCTCTCTGGACATGCAGAAACCACGGAGGAGCGGGTTCTGAGCAGCTCTTTGCAGAGCAGAATGAGCGGCTCGCAGTCTGCATCCGCATGAGTGTCGTCCTTCGCCGCTATGATTCTCACAGGCAAAATGCCAGGGGGAGAATCCCACCCGGGCAGCTCTCCATGCTGATCGTGCCCCTGCTCTGTCAGCTCCTGTTACTCTCCTGCTTTGCAAGCAACTAGCATTAGTCCAAACTGATCGTTGTATTTTTTTTATTTTTCTTCAAAGTTCAGTAAAAGATGTACGTATAATGAAGGCAAAAAAATCTTCTGCTCCCTGGTATGTGAATCCCACAGATTGATCTTGTTTTAGTTGGATTCCTCCTCTCTTCCTGTTTTTATGTCCATTGTGGTCTGAGCTCTAGCCACTGTAGCTGTGAGGTAACGAGCCGTGGCTCCTCTGCTTGCAGACAGAGCAGCTCTCGCCTGGTGGCTTTACTGTACAGGAGGAAGCACCTTCTGTTCACTGAGTGTCGTGAGCCACTCTATTCAGCCAGGGTGGCTCATGCTCCTGCTCCCTCTCTCTCGCTCTATCCTGCTCCCTCTCTCTCGCTCTATCCTGCTCCCTCTCTCTTGCTCTCTCATGCTCCCCCTCTCACTCTGTCATACTCTCTCACTCTTGCTCTCTCATGTTCCCTCTCTCATGCTCCCTCTTTCTCGCTTTCTCACTTTCTCCTGCTCCCTCTCTCATTCTCTCATGCTCCTCTCTTCTGCTCCCTCTCTCTCATGCTCCACTCTCAGACTCCCTCTCTCTCATCCTCCTTCTCTCTCGCTCTCTCATGCTCCCTCTCTCTTGCTCTCTCATCCTCCTTCTCTCTCACTCTCTCATGCTCCCTCTCTCCTTCTCTCATGTTCCTCTCTCCTGCTCCCTCTCTCAATTTCCCTCTTACCATTTCTGTTTCTTACTCTTTTCTTCCTAGACTTCAAACCAAGCTCTTTCATGAAGTATCAAAGTGCCCCTTGCTTTTGTATTTCTCTCCCTGCTTTTGCCACTCTTGTTCTTTAAGGTCTTCCTGTAATGAAGCTAAACACTTTGGTCAACCTGCTGGTGTCTTGCTGTTTGTAATGGCATACATGGGTAAGGCAAGCAGGAGTCCTGCTGGAGACAGGATGCATGTGCAAATGTAGTTTTATGAAATAACAATGCAAAATCAAACCACTGGGCACAGTCCTGAACCGGGAATTAAAAACTAACTCATGTGAAGGGAAGGATGGAACTCAGAGAAGAGCTGGCAGTGCTGAGCAGGTACCCAGCACCGCTTCTCCGGGCCATACCCCTCCCAGTCAGGGAGGTACTCCATATGGGCCGGGTTGAGCAGAACCCCAGATGTCCAGCATGGGTGGGGAAACCTCAGACTGACAGGAATCTGCCATGGGTCCCCAAATCACTGGCCTGGCGTGGGAAACATAAAACAGTGGTAGGGGACAATACTTTGATAGTAAGCCCAACTTATAAGTAACAGGATTAACTTGACACAGGACATGGAAGAGACCAACAAAATGGAGAATGAGTTTCTGGCAGGGGACCCTTGCATTGACAGGCAAACCCTGTCACCTACCTGGTACTCTGGGACCTACAGGCGGCTACGATCTACCTGGGCCTGGAACAGGCGAGTGGCATGGTTAGAGTTGTGTGCTCCAAAACAGACCTCCTCAGCTCACCGGAGTACAGCACGATGTGGGGGGAGCACATAGAGCATGACCTGACACATCTTCTTACCTTTGTGGCCAAGGTACTTCTCTCTGGAGGAGCTCCCAGTTGCCGGGAGTAAAATTTACAGGAAAACAGTTTGTGGGGATTAGTTGTGTTTGAGAGGGCACTGCCCCCAAACCAGGTGGTTTCTCTAGGTCAGGGAGCTCAAGGATGGCGGCAGTGTAAACCTCTGTTTGAGCTTCTTGATTGCTCTTTGGGCTGCGGGCATTCACATGATGGTGTGGGATTTTCCCTTGAGCAGACCAATGAAAGTTGTGGCCAAAGAGCTAAAATTACAAGTGAACCTGCAGAAGTTGTTAGCAAAACCAAGAACCCCCTGCAGCTCTTTCACTCAGCAGGGTACTGACCGTGCCGTGACTTCTGACATTATGTTTTCTTCCATGTGCACCCTCTCTGGTCTAATGATGTACTCCAAGGAGCCGTCACATAGTCACAGGGAAAAGAGGGAGTGGATATGGGTACCTGACCGTATTCAGGCCCTGATAATGATAATCCATGTAGAGGCAGATCGCATTGCTCTTCTTCTCCCCTGAGAAGAACCCTTAGCAGGCTGCTGATGTAGAGTAATGTATAACCCGGTCTGAGGGCCTCTCTGATGTATTTCTCCATGACTTTTGTTTCAGGGACCTAACAAGGAGATTGATGGTGGCAGGCAAGTGACTTGGGTCTTACTGAAGACTGGCTTTAGTTCATGGTACTCAGGTGGCATTTCTGGTGTGTGGACTTCTGGTGGCCTCTTGACAGTGGTGGAATATACAGAGACAGGAGTGCTGACACTGAGGGTATCAGGCATGAACGGTGTGGGTGAACCAGTCTGTGGTAGGGTTGTGAATACAGGACCAGGGCAGTCCAAGGACTAGTGCATGCTGGGACTGCATGCAACTGTACAGTGTGGCTGATAGGCTCAGTGATGTGCTGGAGGGTGCTAGTGCTGATAGGGGACGGACAGGGATTCTATTGATCAAGATCCCCGCTGCTCCAGAGCCCACCATGGCAGGGAAAGAGAGAGACCAGTCACCAGTAGACAACCGTATTTGGACAGTACAGGGCTTTGATTGTATGACTGTTATGTTGCAGTGGGCTCACCTTTCCCAGTAGGGGCTATGACTGTGACTATGACATGACTGTGCCAGGGGTTCTTGGCTGAACTGGACACTGAAGGCACTGATGACTGTACTCGCCCCAGTAGAGGGACAGACCCATTTGGGTTTGTGGAGGGTTTGCTGGGTGGCTGCATGCATCTGCGGGCTGGAGTGATGATTTGCACCCATTCTCTGATGTTCTTTTAAGAAATACAGTCGGTTCATTCATTCGAACCCTTGTGTCCTGTGCCAGTGGTATTGAAATCATTTATTAAAGTTGTTGTAGAACCTTAAATCATGCCAGAAAAGTGTTTTATGGATTTCATTCTGATGTAATCGGCTACAAAATCGATCCTTTCAAATATAATTTAAAAATGTCTTTTATTCACAAAACTTCCTTTACTCTTGTGTGATTGAACTGAAAGTAATGTATAAACAGCATGTTCAATATTTGCAAAGGTTTTCACAACCTTGGAAAATGAAGTCATTCAAACAGCTACCACTGTCTCATATTCATATATATTTTTGTTCAGCAGTCAGATGAAAATGATTCAATATTTTAAGATATTGGAATCTAGATTGGTACATGTTGCTTGTCTTGTGCAATGACATAAGTGATGAGTGAAAATATTCCTGCTAATAAGTTCCTGCTGATTGAGTACTTTATTCTGGAAGTGTACTGGTTGACCAAATTCACATTCAGGAATGCTTCACGGAGCCATACTGGTCACAGATGCTCAAGTGGTGCTGAATGACGGACAGATTCAATTCAGTTTTATTTGTTCTTCTGCAAGTGGTCAGCTGTTATGACAACAGGAGAGAGGCGCCCTACGCTGGTCAAATGGAGAATCTATCATAGGTGAAATTCCATTGTAAACCTTTATGAGGCAAACTTTATTATTATTATTACAATTAGTACAACAAAAATGAGCATAACTGCAGGGCAGGTGCTAGAAGTGAGGTAGAAGGTGTGTTATTGGTGCAGGTTAATTGCCCCCACAGAGACTTAAGGTTTCTGAAACGTGAACAAAGGCCCTCCCTCCAAGCATCAGCATGCAAATCTGAGCATTGATGATGTCATTTATATCATGTGCTATTGCATAAATTATTACTGCACATTATTTGTAATAGTACAAGGTTACTAAAGTACTATTAGTATTATTACTAATAGTAGTATTGTCACTGTAGCACACATATAGTCTGCAGCATAAGTAACGGCGACCTCACTGAGAGTGAGTTCCTGTGTAATTTTATACTCATCAGTCCCCTGTATACACAGCATGGCTTCTGTAAACATGTTACCATGTAGATACAGTCCTTTGTGACACAAATCGCAGTATTAGTTCTTCAGTCATGTGCCACCAGCTGTACCAGGCAGCATTTTAATCCTACGTGAGTTTTAAATATAATCCTGCTCCCTAGTGGGTCATTCTGCTGCCAGGGGCTCTCACTGGCGTGCAGTGTTCAAAAAGCTGAGGGGTGTCAAACAGCAGGGGCACAGAGAGATCCTAAGGCTGCTGCAGTTAAGTGCTGTCTGTGAACCATCAGTGAGCTATCAATGAGTCGTCCAATAACGGTAAAGATGTCTACGCAAGCTGTCTGTGAGCTATCGGTGAGATATCCATGACCTGCCCGAAAACGGTAAAGATGTATAAACAAGCTGTCTAGAACTCCATGAAATGTCTAAGAGTACCATCTGCAGGTCAAAAGTTCGTTGAAAATAATTATGTTACGGAGAGGCATGACAAAGGAGGGGAAAAGAGGGACAATCCACGGAGTGCCTCACAACAAACAGAGTTCATTAACAAAACAGAACACAAAAGGGAGAAAGCAGAAATACAACCCTACAAGGACCAAGAACCAAACGGGAATAACAATAGCTAAATAAAAGTAAACACAAAGTAACACAACTAGGGAACAGAGCAAAACAGAGAAGAAGACTGGGAAACAACCAAAGCTACAAACACACAGTAACAATTACGGTGACTGACCTAAGGAACAACACAAGGGACTGCAAGTGGAATACATACACATAATAAACCAAGGAAACATCTACAGAAAATTCTAGTAGGGGCTGGTCCACATATCACAAACAGGGTCATAGAGTAAAATACGGTAAAATGTATTATTTTATGAAAATGAACTTAGATAAGCTTCCAATCAGGTCCCACCCCCTTTAGTTAAAATACCTGTTTCCCTGTTAGCTAAAATATATTATATGGAAAAAATTTTAAGTCACAAAGGAATAGTTTTCTTACCTTCTTTACTTACAGAAGATATTCTGTTGATCCAAACACACTGCTAACCAAATTCAGGATTGAACTCCATGGTGAAGCCAAATGCCTTCTGTGATGTCCCCAATCGGCAGATCTTAATTATCTGAAGAATAGTGCAATAACCACTCCACACAGCTCAGGACCCGGATGACATCATTCAAAGAAGGATTGAAGCTGTTCTGAAGACAAATGGGGGCTCAGTGCTGTAATAAGTCCTTAATGCAGGTGTTAAGTGTTTCAGGGATATGAAACGGGTGCTTGAAGCTGTAACTTTCATATAGAACTGTATAAATAATTATCCCCCCACATACTGCATATGTTCGCACAGGCCTGTTAGCACTGCCTGGAGAAACATCTGGAAACATGGACAAGGCTTTACACTGGAAAGAAACGTTTGAATGTTTTTCTAAAATCTGATTTTCAACCTGAAACAGCTCTTTTGTAAAACTCATGCCACTTATGTTTCATGAAAGAAAGAGTCTTTTCCAGTGAATCAAAACGTATTTTCTCTGTTTATCTTAACTAAGATGATCTAGCTCAAACATAAGACGGGATTACTTTGCCAGCATCATTTCAGTTGCTCTCTGTTTCCACCAAGCAGATCTTAAATATCTCAGCAGCAGCATGCAGTTCTGTAACTGTTCTCTGCATTCCCTGATTAAACTGAGTAGGAGCCAAACAGTCCTGTGTGGGTGTGGAGACTATGTCCACCTCACCCTGCTGTCTGTGTGTGTATTTTGTCTTACTGTCAATGTCTTCTTGAGGCCTTTTGTCTCTGTGTCCATACTCTGTCGTTATTGGTCAAACTGATTACATTTACACCTCCTGCTGCACTTTTGAACAGCTCCAAAAGCCAGAAACTGAGTTAATTTCCAAGGATTGTCGTGTTCTGTAGATCATCCAGTCCACCTATTAATGTCATTTTATGAACATTCGTCTTCTCAAAACAGTAATAAAATATGGGTCTAAATTTAATGGATTTATATGCCATTAATATATGTAACTAAATGTAATTACATAACACACACACACACACACACAATAACTAATGTAGCCAGCAAATAACCAAACAAGCACTGTTTTGTAACTGACTATCCATCCATTCTGTAGGGACTAAGGGACACAGCCCTGTGTGGCATTATATGACTTGCAGATCGATTTTTCCTTTTACATCGTGCTGTACTGTTAAACATATGAATACCTGAATGAATGGCAGAATGCACCCAGATCAGAGCTCATGAAGGGACCTGCGAAAGGCTCCTGGATATTGTTTCTAAGCACATACTGTACAGTTATTAGTATGTGTTTTCCAGGCTTTTCTTCTGCAGCCCTGACAAGCCGTCTAGGCCCTCAGCCACTTTTCTCAGGTGTTACGGCATTAAGGAGCTTATTGAGTGCGACCCCATTGGCTTCCATGGTGTTTCCCGCGAAGGTGGCTGTATTATGTTTGCCATTGTAACTTCATAGTTTCCCATTTGAATTGTGGTAAAGTTAAACACCAAAGAAACAAATAACCCCAGAACAGGGGCCTTTGCACAGAATGCTGTATGCAACAAACGTATCTGTTTTCTTCATGCAGACGGGCCGTAAAGAGAAAGGGGACCTTCTAAACACAGCCATTGACAAAATGACGAAAAAGACCAGGGACCTGCGCAGACAGGTAAGCTCATACAATTTGTCATGATGCTGCTGTAACCAATGGAATAGATCAGCTCATTTTATAGTAATATGACCAATTGGCTGTGCGGGACTCATTACCACCCAGGGACAATTCGGAACTTATTGGACCAGTGGGTTGTGAGGGACAATGTTCAGAGAACTGAGCCATCAACAATCAGTCAGATTTATTCTCCGATGGAGAGATACAGTGATGCAGAGCATCATCGTCAGTTGCGGAATTATTCAGAAGTATGTGATAAGCTGCCTAATCAAAGGTACACTGATGTGTAGATGAGATGATGAGAATCATTAAAAACCTGCACTAGGTGATAATGCGTAAAAGGCATATAATTGCTTGGTTGGATAGTATGCATGGCATCCATTCTCCTCTAAAATTGGGGGTTGGTGTTAATAGACATTCATTTTAGAACAAATGGGTTTAATCACAACTGGGCTTGAATCAGAACCTCAGCCTAGCCACACAGACGCCTAGTGGACTTCTCAGCAGCCGTATGTCGGTGATGTGCTGTTTGCCTCACTTGTATGTCACTTTAGATAAATGCATCTGCTAAACAAAATAAATGCAAATGTTAACAGACCCCTAGAATCTCTCCCTTCTGATTAAGGAAATGCTGGTTAGACACAAGTGCAGGTACACAAAGTTCCAGCGTCCCCTTGTTACCTGGTTGGAATGGGAAGCAGAAGCAGGGTTGTCTGTCCCACTGGGACATCCATCACTGTGCCAGATATGTCACCAGATATGGCCTTTCAAAGTGGGACACCCCTGTCCTTTCATTACTGTAGGTAAAAAGGCCTTCAGCACATGGCCTGTTTATCATTTTAATAGTGCCCCTGTGGCCCCAAGTGGGGTCTAATATTCCACTCTATTCTCCCCAAACACAGCCACTCGTTAGAGGTTTCCTCCTATCATCATTATTGTGAGATAACGATGATTCCAGCTTGAGCATTCCGCTGTATTTATTAACAGGCTCTCGTCATTCTCTAAAGCTCCCGTGAGGCAGAGCATTCAGTCCCATTGTCAGGCTTCGGCTGCTTCCTTGCCTGGTCGGCCCACAACCCAACGCTAATAAACTGTAACCCAAGCCCTTATACTGAGGGTTAAGGCGTTACAGTTCGAGTCAGGTGGAGCTGCATCATTAACAACTTGGGAAAACAAGATGGCTGCTCCTTTTTATCATTTTTAATACAACTCAAATAATGGTGTCTGTTATTGTTTTGCATTGCTAATAGCTCGTAATTATTTTTTAAAAGATTGTAATTTAAACATGACTTATTGTAAATGTTTTCACTCCACTGTGATTCCCCCTGCATTAAAAACATGTGAAGATTCAAAGCACTTCAAATCAGATCGTTTGAACAGAAATGAAAGCGCCTACTTCATTGACCTTGATGCAATGTCATGTCGATTCACTCAGGCAGAGTGGATACCCTCACCCAGAAAGGCCGCTGTGGGTTTAAAGATAACATGAATATAGAAAGAGATAAAAATAGGTGTCCGGCTGTTGGAAATGTAGATGAATGGCATTAATCAGGAAGCAGAGACTTGGAGACATTAAGCCAATATCCTTAAATGCACCGTCTCCTGTCACTAGCAGCCGCATGCCGCACATGCATTTCATCTGCTCTAAAACTGCTGTTTCTGTGGCATTTAAAGGCCGTTTCCTCCATGCATTTTTCATATGGATCACTGTTACCTTCTTAAGATAAATGATACAAAAGCATATTCAGTATTATCATTTCAGCTTAATCACATTGCACTACTATTGTATAAATATTTGAAAGTCTAAGCCAAGTTCTAAATTAGAATAGAATTACTTTATTGCCATTGCACATTTCTTGCAAAACATTTATTTTGTTTGTCCTGTATGTTAATTACCTCCTGAATACTTTACTATAGTACTGAAAGACTGATCTCTCAAAATTCTTAATTTTAGAAGTATAATTTTTGTTCATGCATTCATGACCGAAGTGTAATTTGGTTAAAATGGGTTAGCTTTATGTCGCACTGGAGAATTATTTCCAGAATAACAAATGGGAATTATTATCATTTTTACACCACATTTTAATCATTAACATAAAATGACTTGATTACTTTTCGTATTGTTTTACAATCTAGGATATACTGTTAAACTCTCCCAACAAACCATGCTTTATACCACCACAACTGCAGAGTTATATAGGAGGGAAGAGATCTTCTTCAAATACCACTGAGCTGAAATATTACTCTGTTGCGAATATTACAGTGACATAAACAAAGCAAAGTTCAGCTACACAGAGAGAGACTGTTAGTTTATTGGTGTTAAATATATCAAAGGTGAAATACTTGGCATGCATTGACAAGCACAATGTTTTTAGTTTGTGTTCTTAGATTCAGCACTAAAACCAAAGGAAGCCAAGTTTGGCATCATCACCTCTTGTGAAAATGTTAACTGTGTTGGATTTTCTAAATAAATAAATGAATGAGAAACCCACACGTAGGCATAGTAATATATGGCTGCTGTCCGATGTATCAGATTTAAATGGTACTTGTAAAATTTATTTTAGAATAACCACAAGCTAAACTGAACATCGATGACATCAGACAATATGTGATGCAAACATGGCACATTAGTATGCTTCAGGATCCAAATTTAACTTCGGTTAATTTTACCATTTAGTTAAGAAAAATCTTTACCACTTTCAACTGTTTCTTTCTAATTGTGACTTTAAAATAATTTCTGTAATCAGGAGAAACAACCATCGCAGAGTGAAATATTGATGTCAATGAAAATAATATTCAAACTTATAGCAAAGCGGCACCAGGCGTTACACAAGCGTCTTTCCTAGCATGAGCCTGGCACAGTGGTCATTTTGCCATCCAGTGCCCGCGTTGTTTAAAAAGCAATTGTACCCACCAGAGGGCCTGGGGGTGTGTCAGCCTTAAAATACGGTGGAGTCGGGTGCATTGCCGACACATTGCTATCTTGAGGCAATAAACTGGAGCGTCACTTCATCTCTCGCTCTGTCTTGCTCTGCTCTCGCATACTGGGGTGCGTTTCCCAAACAACAACGGAAGTTAGCATTAACGATGCATCGTACTATGGTAGTTCAAACTAACCAACATCCGAAGTACGACTGTTTCCCAAAACCGTCGTACCACAGTAGTTTGAACCACGTTAGTTAGTTGGGACTACCGTAGTTCGAACTATGGTTTCGGGAAACACTTGTGTCATACATACATATTTCGAACCACGCAAGTTGCTAACATAGTTAGCAACTATGGTTTCGGGAAACACCTGCGTCATACTTACATAGTTCGACCCACGCAAGTTGCTAACGTAGTTTGGGAAACGCACCCCCGGTTGGGAGCGAGTGAGCTACGTTGCATTGGAATGCTTGTGTTGCTTAGCAACATTCAACAGTTGGCCTGTGGGAACTACTTGTTTTGCGGAAGTTCGTAAATGTTTAACTTAAGAATCATTCAAAGTATTACATGTTGTGGCTTATTACTGTTACCTGCAGCTGTGAAATATGTCTGTATCACTATTTATTATGTAATTCATTTTGATTAGTGTAAGTTACTAAGTTTTGGAGACTGCATGCCCCTAACTGTATTTTTTCCATTGGATGTGTGTATTTTAGTATGCGATTTTAGTGACTGCAAGGTTTTTCAGGAACATACTGGTCGCATTGTAGCAGGACTGACTACAACTCTTTGAAGCCATGTGCCTCACGCAGTGACAATTTTTCCTCTGTTAAACTAGCAAACGTGGGTTGGTCATGCCCTAAAATAGCTAAAATATGGCCAATAGAGTCACTCTAGATTCACTGGGTTCCATAATGGAAATGTAAAAATGTACAAAACAATCCCAACTGGTCTTTGTAATGGACTATATTCAGATACCATTGCAGGTTAGTGAACAGTACAGTAGGATTTTGCTGAAACAGATTTCATGTTTTCTTAAGAGCAGCAACATTCCCTGGATAAGTGGTGGTTGTAGTGGTATCTGTCCGCTATGCCGCCCCATGGACCAGAAACTCACGGCTGCTCTCCCTTCTCCAGCTGCGCAAAGCCGTGATGGACCACATCTCAGATTCCTTCCTAGAGACGAACGTGCCCCTGCTGGTCCTAATCGAGGCAGCGAAGAGCGGTAATGAGAAGGAGGTGAAGGAGTATGCGCAGGTCTTCCGGGAGCATGCCAATAAGCTGGTGGAGGTATGCCATCTTCATCTGTCCCATCTGACCGCAGCCTTCACTCCCTCCTTAGAATGACTGTGTAATGAGATACAAACAAACCAGTCTTGTGTTTTATATGGGTGAATTTTGCATGTTATACTTGAAGAAAACAAAGATCCCTTTGGCTGGAACCAGTTACATGATCATGAATATTTTACATGAGAAAGATTTCAGTGACTTATGCAACATAATTTACATTAAAGTTTTTAAAATTAGGCTAAATCGGCAAAAAAGTAAACCATGTCACTTACTTACCTGCATCGGGGGCGTGTAGTACCGCTCTCACCCGAAAATCGCTCATCACATTCTAAATAGCTGCATTAGCGCATATTCAAATCGCATTCACATGGTAATTTGACGAACAGCGCAACGGTGAAACGCGATCCAGATACATCCCCATCAGCGCCATAAAAGGGGGGTAGGGGCGTGGCCAGGTGTCAATGGCTCATCATGAAAGTTGCTACGTATTCAATGAAAGGAGCCAGAAATAGCGACATGAAGTTAGCTTTTTCTTATTTATTTATCCAACTGATTGTTGCAACTACACCATTTAGTCATCTTCATGTAGCCAAGACTTTGCTGATCAGATATCTGGGATCAAAACAAACTTCCACCATTGCTTACTCTGTACTTTTATGAAGTTTCAGCAAGTGTTCCAAACTGCCTTTTGCAATGTCTATACTTTGATGTCAAATTACAAACTTCACATAAATCTGACATATTTACAAAGTGCACTAACATTAAGATGAGTTTGTTGCCAAACCAAATATATAAGAAATAATTTATTTGCCATGAATTTAGTTAAGTTTATGATATTGAATGAAATGTGTGACCATGCCCCAGTCAGTGAAAGTGTGTCCCCTACCCCTAGACTCCAGAGGGTTAATGATTTTGACACCAATATATACAGTAAACTGGTTAAATTTGCAGATGACACTAAGGTGGGTGATGTAGCAGATATTGAACTATTGGCACAGAGGCTACAGCAGGTTCTTGATTTAATTAGTGACTGGGCTGATACCTGGCAGATTAAATTTAACAAATATGAGGTAATCCATGCAGGGAGCAGAAATATAAAGTACAGTTATTTTATGGGTTCCACTGAAATAAAGGTAGCTGATTATGAGAAAGACCTTGGTGTGTATGTTGATGCTTCCATGTCCCACTCTCGCCAGTTTGGGGAAGCAATTAAAAAGGCCTATAGGATGTTGGGTTACATCTCTAGGTGTGTGGAGTTTAAGTCAAGGGAGGTGATGCTATGATTATGCAATTCCTTGGTAAGGCCCCACCTAGAATATTGTGTGTAGGTTTGGTCACCTTACTTTAAAAAGGACATTGCTGCTTTGGAAAAGGTTCAATGTAGGGCTATAAGAATGATTCCTGGTCTTAGAGGAATGTCTTATGAGGAGAGATTAGCGGAGCTGAATCTCAGGAGCTCAGGGACGGGGTTGTGATCACTGTCACCAAGCAGTCACAGTCGTGAGACCACCGTACTGCGTGTGACGAGAGAGGTGGGGGCCAGGAACTCACGGCCATGACGTCAGAGCTCAGGGACGGGATGTGATCACTGTCACCAAGCTGTCACATATAGAGCAATGAAAAAGTGTGCATAAGTAATAAACAAGTATTTGATATAAATGCCAAAGAGTGAATATGGAAGCAAAACGGAACAAAGCACAATGCGCTCTTTACCTGTTGTGGAGAGGAAATTGTAAAACTGCTTTTTTCATACAAAACATTTGAAGGTGTACTGCTGAAAAAACACTCTTTGTAGAGTTTTTTTACCTTCACTTTTAATGCTAAAAAACCAGAAGTCAAAATTCTCGTGTCAAAGTTCTAGACCAATAATGGTGAAAAACTGTAAAATGAGCAATGGCAGAATTAATCATGATCATGATCATTGTAACTTGAATCCGCAGAAAAGGTGTTTTCTTATTTCTTCATACAGCCAGGGCATCACCACACAACATCCTGGCAGCAGGGAGTCTGTTCAGTTTTTCTGCAAATTAAAAGGAGTAATTAAAAGTATTTCAGCATTAATACCTCCTGCCATGTTACATGTGCGCTATTAATATTATTTTGCTTATAGATATTAGGCATATTTATGTACAATACAGCATTTCCTTTTGGGAATCCATTTCTGATATAAGGCACATTATGCCAATGGATGTGCAGATAATTCATACTCACCGGCTCTTTTCATGGGAGAAGGGTTTATAACTAATAATTACTGTGCAACAGTCAAATGCATTTCTCAAGTTGCTGAAAATATGCTCTGATAAAGGGAGCTTTTGGAAGGTATACCCACTTTATCTTTTTGTTGAGATTATAGGACTTTAAGAGAACTGCCAAGTTTGCTGATTTATGCTAAGACAATGCATGCATTATATCCCTGGAGGGCTCCAAGAAAAAAAAAGGTATTTTTCATCTATAAAGGCTACAGAGAACAATAATAAATTGTTAATCATTGTCAGTAGTCCTGCCACTGGAATCCAGTTATTCCCAACTTCTGGGAACATTATGAGATCAAGCAGCCATTGTAATAGACGTAATCTTCAGACATCAGCAGCTAAAAGGTTTTTAACAGCCTGGTTTTAGGCACATCTTATGGGTTGTACGAAACGACATACAATTTCCTGTCATATTCATCAGATTCAGTCAGATTCATATCTGGTGGTGTTTTCTAGTGATTTAAATGGCACAGAGAGACTAACACATTACAGGCATATGCAATAATAATAATGATGATAACAACAATAGAAAGAAAAGAACACTTTCATTTCAATCGTAAAGTGTGATTAACCAATTAATTTTACACTTTGCCTGTGATTGTTAATTTTTGGCTTCTTTCCTTGACCACGTATGAAAGGTGACTGTCATAGAGGGTTAGTACGTCTGCCTCCGGCAGAGAACAAGCAGCTTTATGAATGTGAGAAAGATTCTTCCTCTCTAATTGTAAACTGTATTTTGCACAAAATGAGGGCAGGCCTATATGTTTGGCATAATGCATGATCCTGAATGTGCCATCAGCTTTCAGAGGTATTTACTGCAGCCAGGGAAGTCAATGTCGCCTGTTTCCTAGAACCCTGTGGAACCATGTGTGTTCTGAAAAAGGCCATTTCAGCTGCAGATCTCCAGTGTTAGTACAGTCTTCTTATTTCTGGGTAGTTACTATTTATTGTTACCTAGCAGACATAATCTGAGTTTTTAGCTATCTATGTCAACAATACTTTTGTTGACTGAGGACAGACATGGATTTACTAAATCTTCATTTTAAATCCTGGCCCCTATTAGAAAATATTAATGAAAGGAGTTTCTACAGAAAACATGGGCTCTGGTTGTTCATAGATAAGCCTGCTTGCTTATGTGATGCTGGATTGGTAATTATACATTTACGTTCAAATCGATTGCTGCATTCTCATCTTTCAGTTTTGTCCATATCTTTTAAAATTCTGCTGTCTTGAATCTATAAATGCTTACATCACTCGCTGAGATCTCTGTCAGTTCTGTTTAACAGTCATCATGTCTACCTACTCAATGAATTCTGTTATCTGGCAGCATTCTGAGAATTAAAGTAATGCATCAAGTCCCAATGTCAGATAGCTGCATCACAGCCATACTCATCACAGCCATACTCTCACAAACCACAAAGAGGTGCCCATGTTTCATCAGCTCCAGGAAACACTTGTTTTCCCCATAGTTTATGAAGATCATCACAAGCATTCAGAATGGGCTGTCTGGGCTTTCTGAAGCAGCACCTACATCAGGAGCAACACAGCAGACGTAATATAAACTGTGCTCAAAATTAGCTCAGTGTCAAAGAAGGGTTAAGTATGACAGCGAGTGCCGAACACAAGTTCACCGGGAAAGGAAGTACAATATTAGCTCTGGTAAAGAGAAAGAGAAAGTAAACCATAACATAATGTACTTCCTTGTGGCACACTGTAACCATGTAGTGTAGTCTGAGTAATATATTAATGTAGTGTACTTATAGTAGTATGATAGTATAATATAGTGTATTTAGAGTAGCATAATATTGTAGTGTATTTAGAATACTATAATATTGTGGTGTAGTTAGAGTAATAGTGTAGTGTATTTAGAATAGTATAATATTGTAGTGTAATTAGAGCAACAGTGTAGTGTAGTGTATTTAGAATAGTATAATATTGTAGTGTAGGTAGAGTAATAGCGTAGTGTAGTGTATTTAGAATAGTATAATATTGTAGTGTAGTTAGAGCAACAGTGTAGTGTAGTGTATTTAGAATAGTATAATATTGTAGTGTAGTTAGAGCAAGAGTGTAGTGTAGTGTATTTAGAATAGTATAATGGCGAGAGATTCCAGGCAGAAGAGATACTTGTTTGGAATATTTTTTTTACTGAAGTGTTTAGTGACAGCTGTACAACTCCTGTGATATTTCAATTGTAGGACAAGTATCTGTGATACTTTTTAAGATAAATTTTCTGAAACTGCTTGTTCTATTCAGAGTCACGGGAGTCCAGAGCCTATGGGCACAAAGCAGGGAAAAACCCAGGTTGGGGCACCAACTCATCACAGGACACACTCGCAATTTTGTAACTCCAATTAGCCTCAGTGTGTTTTTCGACTGTAGGGGGGAAACCAGAGTACGTGGAAGAAACCCCACAATGAACCAGGGAGAACATGCAAACTCCACACATGTGGAATCCCAGCAGAGATTCATAGGCACCAGCATCCAAGTAGGTCCATTTGTGTCCTTTTCAGCCCATCAGAGACACGTCTCGATCCGATCAATTTTGCAGGTCTGTTTTGTTGTGTCATATTCCGAATTTTCAGTCGAGTTGCAGTTAGATTTTTCTAATTCGAGGTTTGAATTGTTATAGTCAAATGTGTCTTCACCGATACAAGTTTTACCAGGAATGGTCGAGTTCCCTAGTCGAAAAAAGGTCAACAGTCCCATTTGATGTCCGAATTGGTCAAGTTAAGAGGCATTTGAGTTCCA